TGACACACACACACACACACACACACACACACATAACAAATCGTCACCCGCGGGGGCACACACACACGGTTATTTCTGCTCGCGTCAAGCAAGAGACGCGTGGCGTGGCGTGACAATCTTAGACAGACATAGCGGACTTGGAATACTTGGGAAAAATAACGCCAATAGCTCAGTACCGCTTCATACATATGAACAAAAGTGATCTTTGGTGGACATATTGCGCGGTGGAACCTTGGTAAATATATTACATACATTGTAGATAACTGTATTTAGTTCAAAACAGTCAAATGTACATATGTGACAGAAAATAAGCCAATAACTCAATACCGGTCCATGTATGAACAACACTCTTCTTTGCGGGACATATTAGATGGTGAAACCTTATTGTAAATATGTTACATATAATGTTGTACTGTATATCATGTAAAACGGTTAAGCCTACATTTATCTGGGACGAAAAAAATAAAGCCAGTAACTCAATACCGGTACATGAATTAACAACCGTGACAAATTGGACGATGGAACCTTGGCAAATATATTATTTTATATTTTTATGTAATGTAATCGCATGCGATATAATAGATAACTCTATCTAAAACAGTTATCTGTGACAATTGAAATTATAGTGGACGTCGAAAACTTGGAAAAATAACGCCGATAGTTCAATACCGCCACATGTATGACCAACTCTGATTTTGATGAACATGTTAGACGGTGGAACCTTGGTAAATATTATATTGCGTATATTGTAGATTATTCCATCTCTATGTAAAACCGTTAAACGTGACGGAAAATACGTCAATAGCTCAACACCGGTACGTCTATAGATCTATGTGAACAACAGTTACTTTTGACGTACAAAATATTAGACGACAGAACCTTGATAAATATATTACATATGCATCATTATGACACAGATAGCCCTGTAATATTATGTTACTCGTGTTATCTGTGAAAAACATAGCGGACAACGAATACTTGGAAAATCGGTCAATAACTCAATACCAGTACTTCTATTAATAATAATATATGAACAACCGTCATTTAAAACGGACAGATTCGACGATCTAAACTTGGTAAATATAATATTAATTATGTATAAAATGTAATCGTATGATATAATATGATATTGTCAATAACTCTGAATGTAAAACAGTGTTATCGGTGATATATATTGCGGGCAAGGAAAACTGGGAAAATACATAAATTGCTCAATAACACCGATACATGTACGAACAACACTGATCTTTCATTGACATATTAGACAGTGGAACCTTGGTAAACATATATATTACTTATATTGTAAAGAACTCTGTATTTCGCTACTTTAGATTTACAAAGATCTAACTGCTCAGTACCTGGTTTTAAGATATTTGAGGTCAGAAAAAAAATCTGGGTTTCACATCTCATGCTTTTTCGAGTGGCAATTCTTTTAATCTTAATACCTTGATAATAACCCCAAATAAGTTTACGATCTTGATAGAGCAGATAGAACATTTGATGTCTGACCTTATGGTCTTAATAACTCAAAACGGCTAAAATACCTAATAGAACTTGAAATTCTAAGGTAGCGATTTGTGTAAAACAGTTACATATTATTATGTATCTTATGACGGAAAAAACGTCAATAGCTCAATACTGGAACATGTAGGTCTACGAACAACAGCAATCTTTGATATATATACATATATGTATATATATAA